GCGCGCAGATGGCGGCGGAGGTGCGCCGGGGGGTGGCGGACGAGGCAGCGGAGGAGGCGTCGCAACTAGTTCGCGTGCATCTCGGCCTCGAGCGATGCGCGGACGCCGGGGGCGCGGCGGACACGCGTCTCGAGGCGCCGCTCGGCGACAAGGCTGAGGCGTACAACCATGACCTGCGCTTCCAAGCGGCGGTGGGCGACGCGCTCAAGGTGAAGCGCGCGGCGGTGCTTGCGGCGGCGATGCAGCGCGGCGGCGGCGGCGGGCTTGCCGCGGCGATGGATACGGTATTGCCACTGCAGGCCAGCGGCGTCGATTTGACGGGGCTCGACCTTGGCAGCGACGATGGCGTGATGGTGGGCACGGTGGTCGCGTGGATGGAGTCGGAGCCGTCGGCGCTGACGTCGCTGACGCTCGACTGGGGCAAGGTGTGCGGCCGCGTGCGGGAGGCGCTGCTCGGCGCGGTGCGGAAGACGCACACGCTCGTCGCGCTGAGCGTGGGCGAGGAGCGCGCGATGCCGCTCAACCCGCTGCAGCTCAACGGGCGCGAGGCGGTGCCGTCGCTCGACTTGTCGGGGAAGCGCCTCGGACCCGCATCGGCTGCGGTCGTCGCGGCGGGGGTTTCGGTCAACGGGGTATTGACCTCTTTGAATCTGGGCTTCAACGACCTCACCGAGGAGGCGGCCCTCGGCATCGTGCGCGTCGAGCGGCAGCGCAACAAGCTGACCTCGCTGAGCTTGGCTCGCTGCAGCATCGGCCCGACTGGCGCCGCGGAGATCGCCGAGTACGTGTCGGGCAGCGCGGTGCTGACCACCCTCGCGCTCCCGCACAACAGCATCGGCGCGGAGGGCGCAGCCGCGATCGCAGAGGCGCTACGCGGCAACGGGGTGATGACCACCCTCAATCTCAAAGGCAACAACATCCGCGCCGAGGGCGCCGCTGCGCTGGCCTCCGCTCTTCGCGTCAACGGGGTGCTGACCTCCTTGGATGTGGGCTCGAACGGCCTCACCGAGGAGGCGGCCCTCGGCATCGTCCGCGTCGAGCGGCAGCGCAACAAGCTCACCTCGCTGGCCTTGGAAAACTGCGGCATCGGCCCGACTGGCGCCGCAGAGATCGCCGAGTACGTGTCGGGCAGCGCGGTATTGACCTCCTTGAACCTCTGTAACAACAACATCCACGTCACGGGCGCCATTGCGATCGCCGAGGCGCTGCGCGGCAACGGGGTGCTGACCAACCTCGATTTGTCCGGCAACAACATCGGCGGCGAGACCGATTACATCAAGGCGAGCGAGGTCGAGGGCGAGTCCAAGGAGGTCGGGGCTAAGGTGGTTTATCAGGGGCGCGAGATGGTCGTGAGCGAGGGCGTGGACTCCGATGGCGAGCTGAAGCTGGCAGACAGGACAGGCATACTTGCCATCGCCAAGGCGCTCGAGGTTAACGGGGTGCTGACGAGCATCGACCTCCGCGGCAACAATTTGAGCGATGAGGGGAAGAAAGCGATTCAGGATGCGGTGAGCGGGCGGGAAGGGTTCAAGCTCGAGATGTGAGCGGGCTCTGAGAGTGGAGATGGTGTAGGGGGGCGTGCATGGGATTAGAGTGGGTTGTCTTGAAGAGCTTGAGTCGCGGGCCGTTCATTTCTTTTCCCGTTTTTCCGCAGGGGGCTGACCACCTCCGCCGCGCTGCCTCCGCCGCGCCAGCCGTTGCCGCCGCATCGGCTTATCCTCGCCCCGATGTCGGCAGCGAGCTGGCTTTCCGGCTCCTCGCTCGGCGGCACAGCGCGCAGCTATGCTACACGCCGATGATCCGGTCCGAGGAGTTTGCCGTCCCCTGCTGGAGCGCCAGCCGACGACTGCCCGCTGGTCGCCCACTCTTCGGGCAACGACCCGCAGACGCTGCTCGACGCTGCGAGGCAGGCCGAGCGCTGCCGCGGCGTGGTGGCGGTCGACCTCAACCTCGGCTGCCCTCAGCGCGCCGCGCGGAGCGGCAGGTTTGACCGCCGCTGAGAAGCAGCTGGACGCACTCGAGGTGGCCCTCCTGGCACGCCATGAACAGCGGCGTAGCGCCGTCCTCATCGGCCTGATTGACCACCGCGCCCGCCTCGAGCAGCAGCCGGGCGCAGCTGAGCTCACCCTCCTGGCTTGCAATGAGCAGCGGCGTGGCGCCGTTCTGCCTGGGCTTGGCCGACCGCCGCATTGGCCTCGAGGAACAGCCGGACGCACTCGAGGTGGCCCCTCTCGCGCGCGAGGAAGAGAGCGGAGGCGGCGTCCCCGTCAGCCGCCCCAACGCTCGCGCCGCCCTCGAGCAGCAGCCGCACCGCCTCGGCGCTTGCCCGTGACGAGTGGCCCAGGTGAGCAGCGTGTCTTGCTTCTCGGTCGGGTGCCGCGCGTCGAGCCTGCCGCGTGTCTGTCGCCCGGAGAGGAGGGCGAGCAGCGAGCCCAGATCGCCCCGTGCCAGGTCGGGCAGCAGGGCTGGGCCGCCGGCGCCGCTCATGACGCGGGGTGCCCGAATTCTTTTTGCCGCATGGAGCTCGGAGGGAGCTCTGTTGTAAAATTTCCGAGCAAAAACGCGCTGACATATGCCGCCGAGCTCCGAGCCGTATGTACTGTGTGAGAGAAGCCACAACATGGAATAGGCCCCTGAAAACACAGAGCTCACAGGGTCAGGGAGGAGAGAGGGGGAAGCGCGGACGCTGGGGAGGGCGGTCAAAACGGGACCGCGTGTAGCCTACCTATTGCATAGGGTCTAACCGTGGTAAACAGTGTGTGAACAGACCCCATAGATAGATAGGAAGGCGAAGAACAGTCAGGCTCGGACTGGACACCAGCGCGGACCGCGATGGGTGGACGCTTGGGATGTAGCAGGTTTTCCGGCAAACAAAAAGGAAAACAGAGGGTCCCCAGCACTTTGCGTTTCCGGAAATTTCCAGGGAAAACAGAGGGTGTTTGGTGCTCCATTCTGGAAACTCGCGAGTTTCCCTGAGTCTGAGAGCTGGTCTGGGGCAAAATCTGAACACTAAAAATATCTCTCAAAATCTGTCTGAGGCAAAATTGAGGAAATCGACAAAATACCCAGGCGGTCGCAGGGTAATTTCCAGGTATACACGGGTTCTCCGCGAAATTCCCGGCATTTTGCCGATTTGGCCTAAAACTTGGCTGATTTTGGGCCCAAACCAGCCTCAGACTATACTCGGCTCAGAGCCCAAATTTGACGATTTCCACGCAGTTTTCCCGGGAAAATAGTACACAGCTAGAGGGTGTTGTAGAGGGAAAAGGAAAGGAAAACAGACGGGGTGCGAGAGGCAAACCTGCTACAGACGTATTCTTCCTCCCTTTCAGTGGATGGAAACAAACGCGAGACAGGAGATGACGGCACGAGCTTGAGAGACACATAGACACACACAAGCTCACAAGACACTCAGCGAGCTGGGCTGCCACACATCCCAAGTGAGCGTACGGCACTACGCCACTCGGGGCCACGTCCCCGCTGTCAGCCCCTTCAGCATCCAAGGATCCAGCCGCGGACCTCTCGTTGCATGCCCTCCCACGCCCTCTTGAAGGACTCGCCCGTCGGCGTCAGCTGCCCCAGTTGCGCGCCGAGCGGGTTGACGTTGGTGGTGCAGCCCGAGAGGAAGCGCGAGAGGCGAGGGCTGTTCGGGTACGGCAACTCGAAGGCGCCGTGGCCGAAGAGCGGAGCGAGCATCTGGAAGAAGCCACGCTCGCTGCCGCCGCCGGGCGTCGACCTGTCGAGGAACCTCTCGGCCGCCTCGACAAAGCAGGCGCAGAACGCAGCCGGCGCCACCTCCTCGAGCGAGCGCAGGCCGAGGCCGCGCATCCGCGCAGGCAGGCGAGCCCGCCGCGCGGTGATGGCGTCGAAGAGCACGCCCTCGTAGCCGCACGCCTCAGTCAGCGGCACGGGTGAGCGCAGCGTCGACGACGCGAGCGTGGGTCACCGTCTGGTCGGGAGGGAGGTGCCGGAGGATGAAGTCGAACTTGGCAGAGCAGGAGTAGTAGATGGCGGCCCACAGCGCGTGGGGGCTCGCAGCACGTAGCGAAAGAACCGTCTTCTCGATGTAGCTCTCGATACTGCTCACCTGGGCGCGTAACCACGCATCCACAAACCCTGCCTCCCCCATGGGCAGCCCGCGACCATCACGCCTCGGTACGCGCGCGACCCGCCATCCTCCCCCGGCACCAGCACCATGCCGACTGGCGCGCCCAACGCCTCCCGCCACGGGCAGTGCGAGAGGTTGTACTCGGGAGAGAAGCACTCGAGCTTCGAGACCTGCATCTCGAGGTTGAGCGACGCCTTGACCGCCTCGCCGAAGCGCTTGACCGCCGGGAAGACGGCGGCCGCCGGTCCTAGCGCGAAGATGTCGTCCATCTCCGCCCAAGCCCCGCCACCGAACGGCCTCAGCTCGGCGTCGAGGGCAGCCAGCTCCGGCTGGATGGCGATGCAGAAGGCGCCGCTCGATGGGGGCCCGCCCTGCTGCGTGCCGGTCGCCGAGTCGCCGCCACGCGAGGTCTCAGCGCGGCACGTCTGCCCCTCGAGGTGGTGCTGCTCAAAGAGCCGCGTCCGCTGGGGCCCGACGTGCGACGAGCGAGCAGGCTCGTCGCGGACATGAGCGTCGCGTGAAGAAGCGGCATGAACGGCGCCAGCTCCGGCACCTCCGAGCAGCGGCGGAGAAGCGCCGAACCATCGATCTCGTTGTACGCGTTTTTGAGGTCGATCTTGACGAGCACAAAGTCGCCTCGCTGCTCGAGCAAGATCCTGGACCGTGTTTGTTATGACCCCCCCCCATGAGCACGCCAGCGAGGGAGGGTGAGACGATCGAGGGGTCCCGTACCATGCGGAATCGACCCTATCCAGTGTCAAGTGCTCAAGATGCTTGTCCACCCGAAAATAAATCCGATCGCGGCTGGATCGCGCCGGCCCGTGGATCGCGCCGGTTGCGCCGCCCCACGCTCGCCCCGTGCTGTAGAAGATGCTCGCCGAGCTGGGAGCGGTGATGCGGGAGCGCGATCAGGCCGTGGCCGCGCTGCAGCACATTCGCGAGGCCTCCGAGATCAACGACGCGCGCCACGACGCTACTTTGGCGGCCACAGTCGAGGCGGCTCTCCGCGCGGTGCAAGCGGCGCGCGCACGCGCGCTGCTGCGGCGGGTGATTGACAGTTGGCACTCTCACGTGGAGAAGGCGACGATGCTGCGTAACATGCGTGCGCTCAGCCTGCGCGCTTGTTCGCGAGCAGCCGCCGGCTCTGCGCCGCACAGCGACTCCTCCGCCGCTCCCGTGCAGACTCCCGCAGTCGTCGGCGGTGGCGAGGCTCGCGAAGCTCGCGAAGCGCCCGACGACCGCGGCGAGGGCGGCACCGGGAGCGTCGAAGGCGACGGCGGCGGGTACGATGGCATGACGGGCATGGACGGAGCGGCGGCCGAGGCGGCGGTGGCGGCGGCCGCGCCGCTCGTCGATGCGCTCTTCAGCCACTCTCCAGGGACGCTCTTCGACCCCGTGCGGCTCCGGGACGAGGTGCTCGGGCCAGCTCCCTCGAGTCTCGCCACCTCCTCCCACGCCGCCGCCGCCGCCGCCGCCTCGACGGCGCCGACAGCCGCCACCGCCGAGCCGCCCTCGCCTCAGCCGCCCTCGCCGCCAGAGCCGGCAGAGGCGGAGAAGGTGGCCCGCCGGATCGCCGCCCACCTGTCCTCGCCGCCGCCGCCGCCGGAGCCGCCGCCGCCGCCGCCCGCGGCCGACACGGGCGGCGGGGCGGGGCGGGGCGCAGATACAGACGGGACGATCGGCGGGATGAACCAGATGCGGAACCGAAATCCTGTGTAGTCCGACTAGCACTCGAGAGGTCGCGTATTCAGCTGCGTTCTCTGCACTCGCAGCCCGAGGCGCTCAGCACCTGCACGGTGCCGTGTCCGCGCCCCCGACCCCGAGGCGTGTGTCCATGACGCAGGCGGGCTGCCCGCTGAGGCGTTGCTCAAGAGGCTGCAGCATCTCTCGGTGGAGAATGCGTTTCTGCGCGAGCGGACGGACCACCTCGAGACCAGCGTGCAGTCCCTCTCGGCCGAGCTGCGCGACAGGAAGGCGCTCCTGCACCACGTCTACGTCGTCGCGAGGCGGACGGTCGACCCGCGAGCCACGCCCGCCGAGCCGGACGTGATACGCGACTTCAGCGACTGGGCCATGCCCGGCTTCGCGGCATTCCTTGGCGACGAGACGCGCCGTCGAGATCGCGAGGCGTGGCCCCGCCTCCGCGCGGCATTCCCCGCGCGGTCTGGCGCATAGCCGCCCCCCGGCCGCCCCCCGGCCGCAGGTGGCAGACGCGATGGAGGCTGTGCTCGAGGAGACGCTGCGCCAAAACATGCAGCTCCAGCAGGCCTTGCGCAGACAGCAGTCGCCGCATGGGGAGACTGCGAGGGCTCCGCAGCACGCGCAGACGCCGCCGCATGACTTGGCGCTCCAGCCATTTTGAGGAGCCGAGGAAGGTGTGAGGGCGTGTACTCGACGATCCGCAACCCGCACCGCGCACGCGAGCAAGCCCCCCCTTATTTTGGTGCCAGTCCGAACCTGTCCTACCTGTGTCGGTGCCAGAGTGTGCTGTGAGAGGATTTGTTACCCCAAAGAAATCCGAACCTGGCCGGGCGCGGGCGGGGCCCGCGCGCCCCCAGTATAGAGGATTCGGGCCCGCGAGAATGGCGGAGAATAATTCAATTATTCCCAGAATATAAAACACCTCACGTGGTTACCCAAGATGGTGGCTAGCGTTTACGCCATACGCCGAGCTGTTGTGCACATGAATGATAGAATGTCTTCTCGAACCACGAAGTGCGCACGCACCAAGAGGGGGGGGGGGGGGGGCTCCAAGGAAGGGGGTCCACGCGATCGCACCGGGGGTCTGGGGCTTCACCCCTTACTCTGGGCCGGCGCGGGGGCCCCAGAGGGTGTCCATGCGGGGGGGAGATGGGGTCCCATGGCCCGCCGCAGGCGCCGATTTTTTCGGATTGTTTTTCTTTTTTTGGCGATTTTTTACTTGTTTTCATGGGAATTCGGCGTACTTGCGGCCATGCTATCACGCCTTGCGACAGCCTGTCGGCGCAGCTGACCGTGCCATGATGCACAATTGATCACCTGCATAGCTCGCGGCCTTAGTATCAAGCATTCAGTGACGACCTGATCGTACGGCCAGTAGGAAGGTGTCCTTCCATCGTGTGCACGCTTCTGGCGCAATGCGCGTCACAAACTGCCTCGGATTGGCTGCTGGCACTCTCGAGGCTGTGCCTACACAGCCTCGCGCGCATGGGCAGTCAAGAGGGACCACGCACCTTCTCAGGACAGCGCCGGTGCCTCTCTCTTGGACCGGCAAACTTGGTGGTATCGTGTCACCAATGTGGGACCAGTGCGGCTTCGCGCCATCGACAGCTCTGAACTGCGCCTCACCACTGACCGGGAAGGCCGCCAAGTGGGCCAGCACAGGTCGCACATTGTGGCAGTAGTCAGCAGTGCATGGCTGATAGCTAGAGCAGCAGCGTCAGGGTCGCAGGGTCGGATCGTGTCAAGCCTCTCGCCCGGCCGGCCGCGTGCAGACGTCGGCCTGTCTGCTGTCTGGAGTGATCTGTCGGCGGTCAGTACGACCGATCAGGTCGGAGTTTTCTGATGGTTGGAGGGTCTATCTGTATGTACTCCTCGAGATCTCTCCAAATCTGCCCTCTACTCAACCGTACTTAATCGGGAAGTTGGTGCTCATAGAGACTCATAGAGCCGGAGCCCCGTTTCCGCACTGCGGCGCGGCGCACGGTGCCTCCGGGGGGCCCCGCGCCGGCCCAGAGACCCCTTACTCTACAATCCCGGACGCAAGCCCGGGTCTATGTACACTATTGCACAGCAGGGCACGAGGTCTATCCGTCCGCGGAGCGCGGTCGCAGGTTAGCGCAGCACTTTGGGTTGGTCTTCTTCGTGTCTTGCCGGCGCTGCGGCTCTCCTGCATAGCACCACCACGGTCGCTTCCAACGGCCGCTTAGCACTTCGCCCTCACCTCAGTGAGCACGCCAGAACTCCCGACAGATCCCGTCCAGAACTTAAACCACGGCGGGAAATGCGCTGGGTGCCCATCGAAGGTCATGTTCGAGAGCCTCAGCGATGTGGTGGCGCCAACGGTGCCACTGGTCCAGTCAAGCCACAGAGAACACCCTCCCTCTGGGTGCGCGAGGGATAGGGGAGGAGGACAGGGTCCACACCTGCACGAGCAGGATTTTCAGTGTACGTACTCTCTCTCTCTCTCTCTCTCAGAGAACACAACCCCCTCTCTCTTTTCTCTCTCTCTCTCAGTGTATGTAGCTCTTACGTACATTCCCGTAGGAGGACTCTGCTGACAGGATTTTGGAAGGACGATCAGGGGAGAGGTTCCCGCGAATGTCCAGCCTGAATTCTTTTTGCCTCGAAACAAGCGCCCCCTCCGTTCCGTGCCTATGATCCAGCTCACCCTCTTGCAGTCCGCTACGCACCGCTCCCTCATTTCCGTCTGGCCCTCGCCGTTTGCCCACCCGGGCCTGGCTCCGTTCCGAGATATTTGTAGCTCTCGTCTCCCTTCAGCTGAGAGCTTCTTGTCTCTTCAGCTGTGGTATCGGCATACCATCCGGCATCCTCATTTCATAGCCCTCGACATCTCGCTCTTCTTTCTTCTCCCAGTACGTCGCCGACTATCCGATTTCTTCTTCTTTTTGACCTGGAGGCTGTTGCCGCACATCTTTGTCACTATCGGGGAGAAGGACAAAGAAAGAAAGAAAGAACACAGACAACCCAAGGGAGGGATGGGAGGACGGCACGCCGCCACCACACAGGGATTTAATAAGAAGGCAGGGCCCGTGAATTCTTTTTGCCTCGACAAGCCTTCAGAATGCCGAACGACTACATCGCCGCCAAGCCGCTCGCATCGGTCGCCTCCGTCTCGCTGGATGGTGCCGGGCCGACGCCGTCCGCCACGCGGCTCGACGACCTCGGCGTCGACGGCGTCGTGATCGACGGCCTGCTCACAGCCGACGAGTGCTCGCGGATCGTGCAGGCCGCCGAGGCGAGCGGCGGCTTCGGCTTCTGGGACGCGAGCGGCGACGCGGACAAGCGGCGCGTGCGCAACGCCGACACGCTCGAGTTTGACGACCCGAAGCTGTGCGAGGCGCTCTACCTGCGGCTCGCGCCGTGGCTGACGCCGCGCGTGGCCTTCTCGTCCGAGGAGGAGGAGCTGTTCGAGGCGGAGCTCGAGGGCGAGTGGGTCGCGTGCGGCCTGAACACGCACCTCCTGCTCAACCGATACGGCGCCGGCGGCCACTTCGCGCCGCACGCCGACGGCTCGACACCTAGATGTAGAGCCCGGATCCGTGCACACGGATCCGTGCACAAGTACGGATCGTTGAGACATGCGTCGGTTGACATGCGTCGGTTGCACTCAGCTGCACTGCAGTAGTCACTGTTGTTTGCCACCATGGCCCCTCTCCAACACCCCCCTCGCCGCCGCCGCCCTAGGCTCCACTCTACTCGACTTCAACCGGCGCAGCCTCTACACAGTGCTGCTGTACCTGAATGAGTGCGAAGAGGTGTGCGGCTGGTTGGTTGGGAGGGAGGGAGGGGCGGGAGCGAGTGCGAGGAGGTGTGTGCGGGAGCTGGTTGGTTGGGAGGGAGGGGCAGGCTGCTCACCCGCGCGCACCGGGCCTTGCACTTTGAATGCCGGGCCAGCTCCTGCCTGCCTGCGCGTGGAGATGCGAGGGGTTGCCTGGCCCTTGCCCCACCACACCTCCCCTGTGTTGAGAAGCGCACCTTGCCTTGAACCTAGGGCGGCGCGACGCAGCTGCTCGTGTCTCTTGACGGGGCGACGATGGAGCGGCCCGGTGACGGTGTGCGCGTCGCGAGGCCGGCACCGGTCAGTAGATGGGGAACCTTCTAGGAACCTTCTACGAGCCTTCTACGAGCCTTCTAGGAGCCTTCTAGGAAGGCGCGAGGTCGGCCGCGGTCACTAGAATGGGGACGGCGCATCAGCACCCTTTCCCTCTCTCGCCACTCACGTGTAGAGGCGCACGGGCGCCGACTGCTCGGCGCAGAACTCAAAGGCCGCGGCGCCCGCCACGCAGTACATCGCCAGGCTCTTGTGCGAAGCCTTGCCCCGCAACTTGCGTGTCCATGTGCTCCGATTGGCTGCCGATTCGTAGTCCTCGTGTTTGCGCAAGAGCCCGCACAGCTCCCCCCTCCCCCCCCCCCCCCACCCCCCGGGCCAAGATCGCACGCACCGCGGGCCGTCGAGAGCGGGCAGACAGACCCTCGTATTCGCGCGACGCTGGGAAGCACCGCTCGGCAACGGGACCCCCCCCCCACCCCCCTGACATTGGCGTCTTCACACCGCAGGCCGCGATCGTGCACGCCGTGGCGCCGCGCCTGGGGCGAGGCCTGATGTACTACCACCAGGTGCCGCGCTGAGATTGGCCGAGAGTGACCACGATGGACCGAGGTGACCCGAGGTGGACCGAGGTGGACCGAGGTGGACCGAGGTGGACCGAGGTGGACCGAGGTGGACCGAGGTGGACCGAGGTGGACCGAGGTGACCCGAGGTGACCCGAGGTGGACCGAGGTGGACCGAGGTGGACCGAGGTGGACCGAGGTGGACCGAGGTGACCCGAGGTGACCTGAGATGACCCGAGGTGACCCGAGGTGACCCGAGGTGACCCGAGGTGACCCGAGGTGGCCCGAGAGTACCCAATGAGAGCACCCGAGTTGGCGCGAGGTGCCCTAAACTGACCCGAGATGAAGGTTGCGCGACCACCAGGTGCTGCACGCGGGCGAGCCGGTCGGGCGAGGGAGCACAAAGTATTGCCTGCGCGCCACGGTGGTGTACGAGCGGGACGCCCTTCCTCACTAGCTCTGGATTATGGGCAGGTACTGCCTGCGCACCGACGTGATGTATGAGCGGCGGCCGCCGATCTGCACCGCGCCGCACGACGTCGAGGCCTAGCCACACACGCACGCACTCTCGACCTCTCCCTCACACACACGCACACACACACACGCACGCACTCTCTCTCTCTCTCCCTCACACACGCACGCACGCACGCACGCACGCACGCACGCACGCACGCACACTGCCCCCCAACTCACACACACACACGCCTCCAAACTCAGCGTGCGGTGGGAGATGGGATGGAGAGCCTTGCCTTGCCCGTTGCCCCACTCTAGCGCGATGGGGGCACTGCTGCGCGCAATCTCGGGTCGTCTCTGTCGCGGGGCCGTCTCGGTCAATCCCCTCGCCGCCTTAGGCCTACGCCCTGCTGCTGCGCGCGAGGGAGCACGAGGCGGCGGGCGAGCCCATGGAGGCGGTGGCGCTGTACCGGCGCATCAAGCGGCTCTCCGACGGCATCGCGGCGGCGTGCCGGCTGCGGTAGCAGCGATAAATAAATAAATAAAACGGACACCTCTACTAGGAGATGGGTAAAAGCGAGCCGCAACTAAAGATTCTAAAAAGATTACGAGTTAGGACACCGACTGTCCACTGCGCACTGGCTCTCTCTCTCTCTCTCTCTCTCTCTCTCTCTCTGCAGCAGACGAGACAGCTGACCCAGGGCGCGGCCCCCCAGAGCCAGACACCACCGTGGTCCGTCAGAGCGGAGTCGCGCGGGTCACCACACTTTCTTTTCCGCCGATCCATGGCGAGCGTAGCTATGACGGGACCGCGGCCGCGGAACCGGCGGCGGACGGAGCTGGCGCGCAAGCGCCGGCCACCGTCGTGCCGCCGGGGATATCGGCGCAGCGGACCCTGGATGCTCTGGAATCGAATCGCTCCGATCGCGTGCAACCGCTGGAGAGGACGCGGTGTGTGTCGCACGGTTGTTCGGTGCGTCGCAGGTCAGGCTGATAAGGACTGGCTACGCGACCATCGAGATCGAGCTGAAGAACGTGAAGGCGGCGGAGCGCTCGTACATCGAGCGCACCGCGCCAAAGGAGAAGGAGCTCACCAAGGAGCAGCTCGCGCGCGGCAAAGGCCGCGGCACGCAAGGCCAAGAAGATGCAAGGGTGGCGATCGGCTCGGCTGGAAGGGGGCTTTTGTCGCCTTCGGCAACACCGAGCGGGCGCTGCTCGACTTAGTGTTAGGGCATGCTGCATGGCCGCGGCCGGAGGGGGGGGGGGAGGGGGGGAGGGAGGCGGAGGATGCAGAGGCGGAGGCGGCGGCGGCGGAAGAGGAGGTGGGGGAGAGTGAGGGGGAGGCGGAGGCGGGGGCACCTGTGACGGCCCGCTACGAGAAGGGCGACTACCGGTTCGCGCGGGAGAAGAATTGCGACCTGCGTTTGCTCGACTTCGAGACGTTCGGCGGCTTCGGGGACGGCGTCCGCAAAATTCTTCGGGAGGCGGCGGACCAGCTGAGTAACAAACTTTCGCACGCTCAGCACCTCGATGAGGTCACATGGACCACCAAGAACTGGCACGGGCTGCAGATGCAGCGCTTGTCTGTCGTTCTCCACACCGCCGTGGCGTGGCAGACGGTGAACGAGCTAGCGTGCGGGGACAGCGGCATTGTGCACGGAGCTAAGTGCATTGCCGCTCTTAACGGAGTCGCTTAGGCGGCTCCGGTGGTGTGCCGGTGATAGTACTAGCACGCGCCAGTTCGCACCTGTGTCGAGCCTGTCTGCTGTCAGAGAGAGTTCTTTCGGGTTTATGCTATAAAAAAGAAAGCGCTTTCCCTGCTGGCCCCGCCATGCTGCCGAGGCTCGCTAGATTCGTTCGGCCACCCTCCTTTGCAGCCCCGCTGCGGCTGCCTCGGCGCGCTGCGTCACGCGAGGCGTCGTCTGCGAGGCGGCCGGCGGCAAGTCCATCGCCTGCGGCCGCACCGGCGTCGCCAGACTCCGCCGCCGCTGTCGTCGCCACAAGAGGCGGCTCCGCGAGAGGCGGCAAGGCGGTTCGGACGCCGCAATCGAAGGGGAAGCGCGCGCACAAGCGGCGCGGCGCTGGGGGCGCCGAGAGCTCGCGGCGTGTCTCGGCGTGTCTGATGGGCTCTGTGCACCGACCATCGGAGCTTGCGGCGAGGCTGCGCGAGCGGTACGGCGCCGGAGCGGTGCGGCAGCTGTCGAGCCGGGAGGATGCACCGGTCGTGCACGGAGACGCGCTCCTTCTCCTTCCCGCCGCCGACACTCTCGCGCAAGGGGTCGTCTCGGACGTGCTCTACCTCTGCATCCCGGCCGAGGAGGAGGCCGAGGACGAGGCCGAGGACGGGGAGGACGTGCCGAGCGGAGGCGTGGCGCGCTTCTTCTTCTTCACGGGCTCGGGCACCTCGCGCGAGGAGGCGCATGACTGGGCCGCGACCTTCGGCGCCAAGGTTGGCGCGGTCGGCAGCTCCATCCACAGCCTCGCCAACCGCGCGCCGCTCCCGCCCGGCATGGTCAGCGACAGCGGCGGCGCGTTTGCCCAGTTCGAGCGGCTGTGCGTGTGCGTGGGGTGGGGGGCGTCGGCGCGGCTCGAGGAGGCGCTGCTGCGGGATCTGCGGGCGACCGCGCCGCACAAGCTTCCGAGCGCGCTGATGCTCGAGAGGCTTGCAGTCGCCAAGGAAGAGACGTCCTTCAAGGAGAGAGAGAGAGAGAGGGAGAGAGAGAGGGAGGGAGAGGGAGAGGGAGGGAGAGAGAGAGGGAGAGAGAGAGAGAGAGAGAGAGAGAGAGAGAGAGAGAGAGAGAGAGAGAGAGAGGACTCTGTGTCCATGCGCGTCAACAAGCTTACATTCTGGCTGTTGAGTAGCTCGGCGCCGCCTCGGCGCTCGCCGAGACGGGCCGCGACGAGATCGTGCTCGACGCGAAGGCGGCCGCGGGCGCGCGGTTGCTCGACCAGCTGGCCGTCTCGCACGCGCTGCAGAGGCACATGCGGCTGCAGCTCGTCGAAGACGAGGCCGAGAGACTCGTCTGCGGGAGATATGGGGAGATATGGGGAGATATGGGGAGATATCACGTAGGCCGAGAGACTCGTCGGCGGGATGAAGCGGATGGTGCGGCAGGGCATCGGCGCCTCGCGGCTGCGGCGGATGCTGCCGCCTCGCCTCGGCGGCGTCGAGTCGTCGGCCGGAATGATGCAGCGGCTGCTGCTGCTGCGCGAGTTCAACTATGAGCCCGACATCATGAGCACACCCGACTGGCTGTGGGGCCACGACCACGCGGCGCGGCGAGGAGGGGTCCGACGCGATGGGAGCTGTGAACGGCGCCTCTTCACCCCCCTCCCGCTGTGAGTAAGGCGCGCGAGGAGCTGTACGACGCGATGGTGGAGGAGTATGAGGTGGAGGCGCGGATCGACGCGGTGAACCAGCAGCTCGACTACGCGCAGGCGACGGCGCAGCAGCTCAAGGAGGACGCGCAGCACCGCCACTCCATGTTCATCGAGATGACCATCGTGCTGCTGATCGCGTTTGAGGTTGTCGTCGAGATGCACGCACTCGGGTACATCGGCTGGCTCCCCACGGCGGCGGCGGCGCCGGCCGCGCACGCCGCGGCGGGCGGCGGAGATGTGGTGCAGGCGCAGGCGCGCGGCGTCAAGAAGAGGACGAGCGCGCAGTGACTCGAGTAGTAGAAGGTAGCCGCCCCACGCGTCTCGCGGCCGCTTCACGATGAAAGTACTGTGAGAGGGGGGGGGCGGGGGGGCGTTGCTGCATGTGGGGTGGGCTCTAGGTGTCTCGCAGCTGTTTGTGAAGACGTTTACCGGAGCGCAGGAAATTCCCCCCCCCCCCCCCCCCCACACCGCTTTCCTCCCTTCTCGCCGCCCTTTCCTCTCGCGCCCGTTGCCGATGACGTTCCCCGACGAGTGGGGCGCCGGCGGCGGGGACGGCGGCCCGACCGAGTCGAAGCTCGTCCAGCTCTCGATGCAGAGCAACGAGGCGCTCCTCATCAAGACGCTGCTGGCGCGGAGCTGCCCGAGCGCAAGGCTGAGCCGCGTGCAGCGCGTGCAGAACAAGAAGCTGTGGCGCGAGTACTGCCGACTACCGCGACAACTCACTCGTCCACATCTGCGCCGGCGGCGACGTCAACGAGATGCTCCTCTTCCACGGCACGGCGGAGCGGGCGGCGGAGGATGTGCTCGCGCATCAGAACGGGCTCGACCCGCGCTTCTCGAACGGCGGCTTTTACGGCCAGGGCATCTACCTCGCGGAGGACCCGTCCTACCCGATCGGCGGCCGGTACGCGCACCGCATCTCCGGCTCGGGCGGAAGTCGCGTGCAGCTGCTCATCGTGAAGGCCGCCCTCGGCTCGCAGCAGGAGATGGGGCAGCGCATCAGCGCGGAGACGAGGGCGATGCGCATGCCGGAGGTGCGCGTCGAGGGCCCGCCCCGACTCCTCTACGACAGCGTGCGCGGCGGGCCGCACCGCCCCTTCGTCTCCGGCGGAGGCGAGAACGGGTGCAACGCGTCCATCGTACACGTGGTGTACGAGTCGCGCCAGATGTACCCGGCGTACGTGATCGAGGTCGAGATGGAGATGGGGGCCGAGGTGGTGGCGGCCGTGCGCAAGAACTCGGTGGAGGGGAGTGCGAGCGCCGGCCCGGCACCCAAGCGGCAGCGGCACGCTGCGCCGAGCGGTGGCGGCGGCGGCGGCTCCAGCAGCGGCAGCGGCGGCGGCGGCGGCGGCGGCTTTGCTGCTCATGTCCCCGCCGCTGCGCCACCGAGCGATGCGGAGGTGCGGACGATGGGCGCGGCGGCGGCGGTGGCGGCGCTGCGGGCGCACGGGTCGGTCAGTCGCGTCGTGCTTGCGGTTTGCGGGCGGTTGGTTAATCTGTGCCAAGAGGCGCAGAACAAGCACAATGCGGCGGACGCAGGCGCGCTCGAGGCGATCATGGCGGCGCTGCAGGCGCACCCGCAGGATGCGGGTGTGCAGGAGTTTGGCTGTTTGGCGCTGGCCAAAGTGTGCTCCGGCACCGACGCCGCAGCGCTCGTACGCAAGCAGCGCGCAGCAAACGTGGGTGGCATCGAGTTGGTCGTGGCGGCGCTGCAGGCTCACCCGCAGGTGGCGGGCGTGCAGCAGAATGGCTGTTTGGCGATGGGCAACGTGTGCTTCGGCACCGACGCCGCAGGGCTCGCACGCATCCAGCGCGCAGCCGACGCGGGCGGCATCGAGTTGGTCGTGGCGGCGCTGCAGGCGCACCCGCAGGATGTGGGCGTGCAGCAGTTTGGCTGCTTGGCGTTGGGCAACGTGTGTTCTGGCAGCGACGCTGCAGCGTCTGCACGCAAACAGCGCGCAGCAGACGCGGGCGGCATCGAGTTGGCTATGGCGGCGCTGCAGGCGCACCCGCAGGATGTGGGTGTGCAGGAGTTTGGCTGTTTGGCGCTGGCCAAAGTGTGCTCCGGCACCGACGCCGCAGCGTTCGCACGCAAGCAGCGCGCAGCAAACGTGGGTGGCATCGAGTTGGTCGTGGCGGCGATGCAGGCGCACCCGCAGTTGGCGGGCGTGCAGCAGTATGGCTGCTTGGCGATGAACAACGTGTGCTTCGGCACCGACGCCGCAGGGCTCGCACGCAAGCAGCGCGCAGCAGACGCGGGCGGCATCGAGGTGGCTTTGGCGGCGATGCAGGCGCACCTGCTGGTGGCGGGCGTGCAGCAGAATGGCTGTTTGGCGCTGGTCAACGTGTGCGTCGGCAGCGACGCCGCAGCGCGGGCGCGGAGGCAGCGAGGTGTGACTGCGGGCGCGACCGAGGCGGTGGTAGGGGCTATGCAGGCGCACCCGGGCGTCGCAGCTGTTCAGAGGCAGGGGCAAAATGTGCGCGATCTTCTTGCCTGAAGGGATCCGGCCCACGCGGACCAAAAGAGCACAACATGAACCGGCACGCATAGGCTCCGGTCTGAGCGGTCTGTGGGAAGAAGTGCTTGCGCCATCTCGAAGACATTTTCCGTCTCCAAATAATTGTTTTGGTGCGCTATCCGTGAATGATACCGTATATCGGCGATAGGGATGCGCGCATTTTCATATCGGTAAGAGAGCCTGTACCGTACACAGTGAGTACACACGACGCGCCCGGACTGCGTTTGCTGCCGATGAAGACATGTACTAGAGCCTAATACGGCTCTGGCGCTGGATCGGGAACGCCCCCAACGCGCCGCTCCGCAGGCCGGAGCATGCTCCGCAGGGGTTGGATGGGCCCTCCCATCGGCGCCTCCAGCGCTCATAGACGAGCTGAGATGCCGGCGCCTGCGCGCTCAGCGCCGCGCGCACGTGTCGCAATCGACAGTCGCGCGCCGCGGCGGCGTCCGCCGCCCCGTCCCCCGGATCACCGCACTGTTCCACCGCCTCCGTCTCGTTCTGGCGCAGGTCGGCGTAGAATGCGGCCTTGGCGGCGGAGTAGGCGGCGTCGCGCAGGTGGTGGCCAGAGTCAATCGCGCGGCGCGCCTGCCGCGAGACTGCGTGAGACCTCGGGTCGGTGGAGCAGATGGAGTCTGTACTCTCGCCCTGGAGTCTGTACTCTCGCCCGAGCTCTCATGAGGTCGCCCGAGGTCGCCCGAGGTCGCCCGAGATTGCTCGAGATTGCTCGAGATCACACGTGCCTGCCGCCAGCCAAGCCCAAGCCGAAAACGACAGAAGAGTTGCGTGCGCAGCTCGAGACGATCCAGGCAGCGCTGGTTGCTGATCCAGGCAACGCACAGCAGACGGCGCATAAGGGCGAGGTCGTGACGGCGCTCAAGGCGCGCCTCGCGGAGGTGATGGCGAAGCTGGAGAACGACACAGACAATGAGGAGATGCTCACCCTCGCCGCCGATCTTGGAGAGGTGATCGAAAATGCCGAGAAGTAGAGACATCCCCCCAGCCAACGCACATACACACCAAACACACACACACACATGCATCACCAGTCGGTGTCAACAACGAAGAGGCTCTAATATCCTTCCGTGACCCGGTGTATTGAGATTTTGGGACTAGCTAGACACTGACTGTGAGAGACGCAGCTGCTTCGAGGCTGTTCCCACTCTCTCGGTTCGCGAGACTCTGTAAGATTTGCAGTTCCAGACATGCAGACACGGCAAAAACCATGTTGTCCAAGCTCTATGTCGAATAAAATGTCATTCTTTGATTGCGCATCAACACCCGCGTGTAAATCGGCGTTAAAATGAGTGAACAAAGCACCGCAAGGCACACCCGTCTGCTTGAGGTCTCGCCGCCCGCGTGCCCGCGCGACTCTCTCTCTGGCCCTTGCGTGACCTTGGGGGGCCCGGCCGGGGATGGATGTTCTTGCTTGTGTGTGAATTTTTTGTGAGCCTCTCATAGACTAGCGCGCCGCGATACGATGTATATTTCTTCTCAAATTGTGTGTGCCAGTCCGCGCCAGCCCGCGTCTTTGTCGTGTGCCAGCGTGCTGTGAGAGAGAGGCCGTTGTATTTTAAGATTCTTCTCAATCAAGGCCTGTGAATAGACTAGCGCTAGCGGCGCCGTCCCAGACGTAGGTCTGCGAATAGTTGTGCTTTTGAGTTTTGTGTGGAAGCGCCTCCAGGTTGGCTCGCACCGGTGTCAGCGAGAGCGGCATAACGAAATACGAATACCTGCTGCTGCTGCTGTTACGTCGGACAACAACGTCTGTCCCACACACGCACAGACGCGCACATACATCATGCTCGGGCACCCCCCACAGTGTAGTGGTGTGAGCACACAAGTACTAGCAGAGTGCGCACCTGCCTTGGCGGGTGAGGGTCGTAAAAGAATCAAAGCCTGTTGGTGCCAAACGGTATACCCTAACTAAATTCCTTAAGCGTAACTACAATGAACCTTTTCGCTTTTGGGTTTGGGGGGCGCGTACTAGCATCCGTTCTTCTTCATGCGCCGTCTGCGATACGTTTTTGCAGCAATATGATGCTCTTCTCGTGATCGGAGAGGTCGGAGGAGAACGCATCGTCACGCACCTGCGCTGGCTTCGCTCCTCGTGACATCTCCTCGCGCACCTCCTTAAACCAGGTGCTGTTCCACTCGTGCCGGTACTCGAAGCCATTCTTGTGCTCGATCCAATCGATCAACGAGGACTTGATTTCAGCCTCCGACGACATGACAAAGGTGCCACCCGAGCCATCCGGCACGAGGTCGAATACAACAGTCCTGTCCCCGGCCGGCTTGGATGCCAGGTAAATCACGTCCAGTTCCCCGCTCGTCGCCTTGACGTCGAATGCTCCTCCAGATGCCGCCGACGTCGCCGCCGGAGCGCGCACGCATGCCGGAGTTGTGTCGTCGTAGGCGGTGGACAACTCGCAGGTCTCTCCGTCGAACTCGACGCTCCCCGCGCCATTCAGCACGTACACGAGCGCAGACCAGCCTTCCGGGAAGGGCTGGCGAACAGAGCAGCCCGCCGGGATGGTGTGGTGGATCCACTCGATGGGGCTTGGGCAGCCCTCGAAGCAGCGGCCGCGTGAGCCGCCCCACTCGCCCTGCAAGACGATGGTGCGGGTGCCATCCGCCGCCCACAGCAGAGGCATCTCTGTCGTGTCCATGTTGCAAACCCTGGAGTATGGCGCGCAGACCCGGTGCTCTCTCGGGTAGTTGAACCAGATGTTGATGGCGCGCATGCGGTCGTTCTTGCTCTTGACAACCTCACAGTGCGAGATGCCTGACCCGGTGATCATGCGGACGAGCCCGCCCTTCCCAAGCGGGAACTCTTGGTCTCCGCACGTGCTGTCGTAATACAGCAGGATAGGATTTTCGTTGACGCAATCCGGCTGCTCGGGAAGAATGTAGGTAGCGCTCTCGAAGCCCCGATGGGGGTGGTCGATAAACACGGCCGGGTAGTGCACCGTGAAGTCATCCACCGCGATGAAGGGGTCCATCCCGCAGTTGTTGTCCACGATCCGGAAGGTTTTGCCAGGGCCCTGCCGCCCGCCCTCCATGCCCGGCTCTGTGCATTCGGTCGATTCTGAGAATCCGAAAGGCTCCGACATTACTGAATCTCGGTGACGGGCCTGCTTCATCGTCTCGATCGAGGCCTCATCTTGGAAGCGAAAGCCACCCACAAAGTTATTCATGGGCGTGGCGGCACAAAAGGACTCGGCACGCTTTAGTTTCTTGTCCACCTCGGCCAGCACCACATCCTTGGAGCTAACGGCTTTGCTCGCGCAACCTCCCATTTGTCGCAGGCTCCGGCCGAGGCGAGCGACCGTCGGGAAGAAAAGAGGCAGCCCAGCAGAGGTCTGCCGAACGTTTTGGCGGCTTTCCACACGTTGTTGGCGCCGCGTCCTGCAGAGCAGACAGAATGGGGGCCGCCCGGTGCGAGGGGGTAGCAGCAGCCACCAGCCACCACGGGTAAGGATTTCAACACACCCACAGAAGAATTTAACACAACACACAGGCTCGACACAGGTGCGAACTGGCGCGTGCTAGTACCCACAGAAGAATTTAACCACCCACAGAAGAATTTTCGCGAGGAGTGCTCCAGGCTCCCTCGCACGACCCTGGGCACGGGACTGGCGCGCACTGCCACAGAAGAATATTCAGCCAAACAGCGTAGAGTGCGTGGTTGTCTGATTCCTTTCTTGCTTTTAAGAATTCTTTCTTTAAGGCACGGCACGCACTCCTCTTGGTAAAAAAGAAATTTTGAAACCAAAGCGTGCATGTGCTAGGGCTGGGTCGAGGACAGACACGTCCCCACCATTTGCAGGATTTTGCAAAAGGGCCGCGGGCGGGGTCTCCACTACAGCGCCATCTTTTCGTTAATTTAGAACGACGAGGAGAAAGAAAATAACCGAAAAACCGCACGGACTGTCACACACCAAGCAAGGGAGATGGAGGGGAACGGCACAGGCCGCCACGCAAGCCCCCCTCACGATACACGAAGCTCTCTGAACCAGTCAGTTCATTTTCACGGCTTTGTAAATAAATAAATAAAACGGACACCTCTACTAGGAGATGGGTAAAAAGGAACAGGTCCCCGCCCTGCGGTTACACGGCTTTGTCTCAGCGCAAAAGGATTAAATAACATATAACGTTTACGGGTCGGCTCTAACTGTGATATGATTCCCTACGCCCCCGGTCTCGTCTGTGCGCCCCACGCAACATCGGACAGAGGTGAGAGAGGTGCTAGAGGGCGGGCGGCGCGCTGCCTCTCCCTGCCACAAGCACGCACCCCCCTCGCCCCACAAGTGTCCCCCATATAGATCACCCCGAAGCTCCTCCCTCGCCCACTCCCATATCGTCGGGCGGAGCACCCTCGGCTGTCGACGCTGCGCACTACCTGCTCTGCACCCTCGGGTGGGCGAGGGGAGGTAGGTCTAGGTGCGAGCGGTGGGGCGCATGGGCATTGGCATCGAGAGGGCGTCGCTCGGCCGGTGCTCCGAGTTGATGAGCAGAAATCCTCCTCGAGCGCCGAAAGGTTCGTCCACGTGCTCTCGTGGTACGCCCGCCCCTCCGTGTCGTCCTTGAGCTGCAGCCACGCCTGCACCGTCGAGCGGCGGTCCGCCGAGAGGTGCTGCAGCAGCGCAACAAGGCCGTCGCCGTACGTGTCGTCATACGAGACATACTCGTCGTAGTACTCGTCCGCCTCGTCGATGTCGTCGTCGTCGCCGACCTCGACCATCGACGCGTCGAAATGTGAACCCAGCCACATATGTCAATGCTGACTCTCCACACTCCACTCAGACAGTGCTTGAATCCCGCGACTCTATCCATGATCCATAAACTCAGACGGCGCTTGATCCATAAACGTTTTCAAAAATTTTGATTTTGAAAATGAAAACACCGAATAGAAGCTCCCCGGCCCTCCCTGGATGTGAGGTTAATGACTGCACTCCAAGTGCTCCAAGAATAAATAAGCAGAGAGACGTGGGTCGTGGGTCGTGGCGCATGTCGCAAGTTTAAGCTCTTGAAGTGACAAGTGTGTGCGCAGCTCCAAGTCCCTCTTTTGTCTTTATCACACAGCTCTTTTTATATGAACAATGGTGTGACTGGCAGTATCTATGGTTCTTGCACTTGTGCAAGATTGGGCGTCTTCTGCCGCAGTCCCTTTGATGGGAGGCCCCAGGGTGGGGGCCACCCTCGAACCCCTAGCCAGGGATTCGAGCGGAGGGTGCCCCGGATTCATCTATCCGTCGGGCCCCGGTACATTCATTAGAACGGATCACTTTGCGCAGCAGCCGTCCCTTCGCCGACTGGACGGCAGTGCGCTGCGCTGTCGCTCTGTCGAGCACGCTCTCGTGCTTCGTTGTGACGCGGGAGTAGAGTCGAGAGGCAGCCCTCGACGAGACGACCACACCACCACCGCGCACCACCACCGCGCACCGCCACCGCGCACCAGGCCGCCTGCTCGGCGTGTTCGGCGGGGCGGTGCAGCCGCTGCTGCGGGCCGAGGGCGACGCCACCGTGCACTCCTGCCGGCTGCTGCACGCCGTGAGCGCACAACCCCACCGGGTCCAACATCCAGGTCGCCTACTCGCTGCCTCCCGAGGGGGGTAGCGGGTTCGGCGACCTGGTGTACGCCACGGTCCCTCTGGGCTCCGTGGCGACGAAGGTCGCCCGGGACTGGCTCGCCAACGAGCTCTACGAGCCGTCCCGGCGCGGCAAAATTGATGCGGCCTGCAGGGGGACCGAAAGGTCGCCGACCTGATCACGGCTGCCGGCGCCTCGGCGCCGGCCGACGCCGTGTTCGGCGGCGGGTTCGCGACGGGCGAGACGCCCCGCCCGACGACCTCCGCCTCCGAGGCGGACAAGGGCGACGGCGTCGGCGGCGATGGCGGGAACGGCGTCACTTGTGACCTGTTCGAGCCGGACCCCACCCCAATGGAGGACCTCTGAGGTCCTCCCCAGTCTCACCCCACCTTACCTCTGCCCCCCCCTCCCCCCATCCCTCTGCCTCCCATAGGGCAGGATAGCACTAGCATGTGCGCACTGGGCCCACATAGATGTGACCCGCCCACTCGAGTGCGGCGCCCGGATGCTAGTGCTTGAGAAGACACCACAAACGCGGCACGGCCCGTTTTGGATGTCTGCGGAGATTCTGTCTTAGCACACACAGTGAGTCATTCGGAGTCATTCGATGGCCAGAGTGCGATTGTGTGTGTGCGGGAGTTGGTTTGTCGGGAGGGAGGGGCAGGCTGCTCACACCCACGTGCACCGGGCCAGTGCTTGCACTTTGAATGCCGTGGCGCGTGGGGCTCCTGCCCGTGTCCGGGTGTGGAGATGCGAGGGTCGCCCCCCCTTGCCCCACCACTGTGTGTGTGTGGAGACATCTACCTTACCTTATTTACCTTACGACAATGACAGCGCGGTCTTTGAGCTGGGGCGAGTCGCAGTACAGCTGCAGCGCGGTGGCGACGCCCTCGCCGCCGCTGCGCAGGCCGACGGCCATCTGGCCAAAGAAGAGCAGCGCAGGGCCGATGGTCCTAGCCGCCCGCTCGCACGCGCGCGCCACGCCTCCTTGAAGAGGGCCTCGCCCATGCCGATGGGCCGCGTGCCGGCGCGCAGCGACGGCGTCCCGTTTTTTACAGCCCCGAGAGAGATAGTGAGACACCTGCGGGCCGACCTTCACACACAGCACACTGAATTCAAGATATAATAAAAAAAGTCGAGAAGTCCTCAAGCTCTCATCGCCGGCGAGCAAGCCACACCGCACACCTTTCGACAGGCTCGCCGAGCGAGCAATCCCCGTCCCGCTCTCGCCGCGCGACGCCGACCGCCTTTCCTTGCGGCATGACACAAATCCGCGCCGATGGGCGTCATCCAACGGGCGGCTCGCCGCAGCCTGCGACCGGACTGAGGAGACGCTCACCCATCGCGGCGAGCTGTCTCTCCAGCGCAAAGCACGGAGCCGCCACCCGAGCTCCTCCTCCCGCCTCCTGCTCGGCCCACTGCGCCAGCAGCCGCGCCAGCTCCGCCTGATCCTGCCGACGCTGCCGCTCCAGCTTCAGCTCAGAGAGCACCCGCACCTCCGGAGCGGCGGTGACCGCCTCTGACGCGCCGCGCTCTGCGGCCGCAGCCGCCGCCCGCTCCGCTTCGGGTGCATTGAGGGGTCGCTCCGCCTCCGACTCTGCTGGCGGGGCGGTGAGAGCGGGAGGTGGCGCGCTCTCGAGCGACGACAGCCCTTGCAGGAAGGCCTGTGCCGCGTCGTCGAGGTCGCTCCCCCGCAAGTGCGGGCTCGCCTACCTCGGGCAATCTCGGGTGATCTCGGGAACTCTCGGGTGCTCGCGGGTCGGGTAAGTAAACAAGGGGGCCCTGCCGCCGGCGGCGGCCAGCTCTGAGGCGAGGGAGAGGTTCTCCTCCTCGCTCCGCCGCAGCTCCGCCTCGGCGGCCGCAAGCTGCGCCTTCGCGAGAGAAGGGGAGAGGGCGGGAGAGGGCGGGTGAGGGCGGGAGCGGGAGAAGGTGGGAGGGAGGGGGCTGGGAGGGTGCGAGGGCGTGAGAGGGCGTGAGAGGGCGTGAGAGGGCGGGACAGGGCGGGAGAGGGCGGGAGAGGGTGAGAGGCGGTGGCTGAGATAGGGAGAAGGCTCCCTGTCTCAACTCTCTGCCTCGCGGCTCTCTGCCACCTCGAGCTCCGCGCAGAGGGCCCTCGCCTGTTCACAGCCACAGCCGTGAAGAGACGCTGTTCACAGCCACCAGCTCCTCCACCAGACGGCCCTCGCCTGATCACAGCTGGAGTGTGAAGAGGGCGCAGCTGTGAAGAGGCCGGGCACGAGGCCCCTCGCCCGCTCGCCCTCCTCCTGCTGCAGCTGGCCCAGCAATGCAGCCTGCAGCAGCGGGCGAAAGGTGTGGCAAAGGGGGCGGCGGCGAGGGTGGCGGCGGCAGCGATGAGGGTGGCGGAGGGGAGAGGGGCGGAAGCGGCACGAGGGCGACACGGGCGGTGGCGGAGCTGTGGGGCTGTGGGGCTGTGAACCTCCTCGGCGCCGTTCTGAGCCGCTCGTCGCGCCTCGTCGACACGCCTGCGCTCCCTCTCCACCTGGGGTAGAAGTGTGTGTGCGTGTGCGTGTGCGTGCGTGCGTGCGTGCGTGCGTGCGTGCGTGCGTGCGTGTGTGCGTGCGTGTGTGTGTGTGTGT